GACTGTACACACGTATCAAAGATATTCGTTTCCACAGTTTTGTAAACTTAACTCTGATAATGTATGGTTTTCAATCAATCAAATGTTATTCAATGGTTTTGAAAAAAATATTTTCATTGGTTAATATATTTTTTAAAATGAAAATTCTCTTTGTAATTTTTAGGATGCTACACATCAAGCTATTTTATTATCATCTTAAATCATCACTTATATAGAGTTGAATACGGCTTCTACTTAGATCCCTCAACTGATGTGGGACAAAGCTTATTGCTTAATAAAACTTAAGAGGATGGATTATTCTTATGTAGGCGAGCATATGTAGCTGAAGTTTAATCATTGGTCGACGTGGGATGGCTTTTATATACCTACAAAAGTAAAAGATGTGAAATGTTGAAAACAGGTTTCGAACTTGAAACCGCTAAAAGAATAAGCTAGCGTCTTACCCACCAGAAACAACTGGTTTTTTTGTTATTATTTCGCTAAACATATTTGTATTATGTATACAAAATATATTTAAAAAAAATTATAAATAATCGGTTTGGTTCGGTTTCTTTCCGTTTTACCAAACCCAAAAACCGAACCCAAACCGAAATTTTCAGTTTTTAAAAAATCTAAACCCAAACTGTCAATTTATGCTTTAGTTTTGGTTTTTGTCGGTTTTTTGATTTTCGGGTTGAGTTTTGCTCACCCTTACAATATGGTGTTTTGGGGGGAATTGTTAAACATGAGTAGGTGTTTGGTAATTGTCCATGCACATCCATCAAGATTGAAGGTTCTATAAGCAGATGCGTCCTATGATTGGTTGACAATTAGGGCATCTCTTCATGTGTTAAATATGAATGGTCTGGTCCACCAGAATTAGGTGCTTACCCATAAATAAGCATACACATCCAACAACATTTTTGAGGGGAAAATTCAAGAGAGAAAATATTATGAGGTTGAAAACGTTTCCCCTTAGAGCAGTTTGTAACCAAGAGAATTTCTTTTGTTTTGAGAGCTCAAGTGAGGTGAAACCTTTTTGTAAGTGATTGTAATTGTTTTACACGTTAAGAAAATGGTATATCTCTTTTGTTTGCCTATCGACATATGTCACATCGATCAAAACACGCTAAATATTATGTTCTTATTTTACATTTTTTTTGAAGTTTTATCCCTCTTGTTTTATAGAAATCATTTATCGTTTGTATAAGTTGTTTAACTTGTTTTGTTGAATCCCAACAATAATACCTAATGAAAAAAAAAAAACATTATCAGATCATATCCTTTAATACATCTCCTATTTTTCAAAACGCCCAAACAATGAACTGCATTTTTTATGTGTGTGTGTTTCTGTGTGTGTGTGTGTCTATATATATCCTTCCTAATAAATGAAAATACTTTTGCCACATGTCAATCTCTCATTAACTTGGACACATGTCATTTTTTGGTATTTTTGAGTAAATGTTTTTTACATGTATCATTTTTTCATTGTTTATCTTTTTTAATTAACACATCATATTTACATCTTAATTAATAATTGTCTTATTTAAAACTAACCATTAAATTATAATATTACAACTCATATACTATTAAATATGTTTCCTTTTAAATTCAAATTTTAAATTTTAAATTTCAAATTTCAAATTTATATAAATTTTTGTTTAAACCTTCATATTTAATTTTTTTTGTTTTATCCAACCCGTATAACATACGGGTCATACAACTAGTATATATATATATATATATATATATATATATATATATATATATATATAAACTATTAGGTTTTATATTTATAAATCCTAATCTATCGTAGCTAACTAATACACATTACATGCAGTGGACCTGATCGTGTTCGTAGCAGTATAGTTTTGATATCATCAAATGTCGATCACACGAATAATGAGAATTCAGTTCGAATAAATAAAAGTGCTAATTAAAGTATAAACAATAAAGTAAAGAGGGGTTTTTATTTAAACTTAATTAAACTCGATAAAACAATCACAAAACTAGAGAATATTTTTAGAATCAAAAGAGATAAATATGTTTTCAGATAGATTTCGATGTTGCCTTCAGATATGGTGGATTCCAATTGAGTGCAATTAATATTAGTTAACTAGATGAATGCCCGGACGTTGCGCAGAAACACTTATATAGTTGAAATATTTACATATATATATATATATATATATATATATATATATATATATATATATATATATTCTTAAATATAATAATAACGTTGTTAAATTTGATATAATAATTCATATACTAAGTTGATATAATATATTTACTCATGAATGAAAATAAAAAATAATATATGATTTAGTGTTATATAGTTGTTGTTATTGTTAATTATTTTTTTTAAAATTTATTTGCTTAACGTTTTAATTTATATCATTGTAATTATTTAAAACATCAAACATTGTTTTTTGTTTTTAAAGGTAACAATATAATCATTTATATACAATAATTTTTAACTATTGTTATTGTTAGTTATTTTAAGCTACTTATTTGAAAACTTTTAATGATTATAAAAATATATTTAGCAAATATTTTAGTTAAATTGATATTACAAATTAGTTTTTGCATTTAGCACTACAATTTATTACTTTTAACTATTCACAAAATATTTTTTGGGTTTTTTAAATGGAATTGAAATTTATATTTAAGTTGATCATGTAATGTTATATTTAAATTAACAATTTAAGTATTATATATAAACTGTTCAAAAGTTGTATCTTTAAACTGATAATGATTTACTTACAATAACATATAAAATCCAATAAAATAACTATAATATGTTAAAAGTTAAAGACATAATGTTATAAGTAGAAATAAAGATATTGTTTTAATATTGAAATTTAGTTTATTTATAATTATACTTTAGGTTTGATATTTCTTTAACCTTATTAACCAACTTATAATCATTAATAGAAAGACACTACAGTTTATCACTTTTAAATGTTTACAAAATATTATTTGGGTTGTTTAAGCTGAACTAAAATTTATATTTAAGTTGATTCTCTAATGTTATATTTAAATTAACAATTTAAGTATTTTATCCAAACTGTTAAAAAATTGTAGTTTTAAAATGATAATGATTTACATACAACAACATTTTAAAACTAATAAATTAAGTGTAACATGTTAAAGATTAAAGACATAATTTTATAAGAAATGAAAAAATATTACTTTAATATTGAAATTTAGTTTATATATGATTAAACTTTATGTTAGATATTTATTTAACCTTATTAACCAACTTATACTCATTATTAGAAAAAAATTGTAAAGTTATGAGAGTTTCATATGAATGTGGTGAAAGAAAAAAATGTTTCCATTATCAGTATACTAGGCGCGCGTTGCGTAAAATACAACAATATATTTGAAATGTTTGTAAGTATATTAATGACGTTGTTGTTTGTTCTTATATAATAAATTTTATAATAAGTTGGTATAAAAATTGTTTGTTTTGAATTATATAATAATATAGATATCTTTTAAAATTCTATAATCTCGGTTGTGGCAATGACCTCTACATGCAGGTTACTCGTGAATAAAACTACATATAATATATAGTTTAATAATATTTATAGTCGTTGTTATGACTAATTAATTTTAAAAAGTTTATTTGCTTATCATTTTAATTCTATCATTGTAATTAGAGTAAATTACGCGAATGGTCCCTGTGGTTTAGTGTAAATTACACACTTGGTCCCTAACTTATTTTTCTAACTCGGACTGTCCTCAACTTTTAATTATGTAACCCGCCACGTCCCTATTCTCACAGTCCGTCAATTGTTTCCGTTAGACACCCCACGTGCCTTGCACGTTAGGGGTATAAAAGTCTTTTCACATTTCCAACGATCTTCAAATACTAAATTTTCATCAGGATCGAACCTAATTTAGAGTAGTTTCTTTCAATCCTCCATCGTTTGAAGCGGTTACACCTAATCTCCTTCAAATCAAGGATGGTTCAATGCGATTGTGGGCGTGCTGCTGTAATTCGAACTTCAACTACTAACAATAATCCAGGAAGACCCTTTTACGCATGTCCAATTAAGGTATGTTGTAGTTGAGAATTTTGTAATCGTAACCCTAGATGGGGATATCACTGTATGCGATTATAGGTATTGTAACTGTGGCTTTTGAAATTGACAGGAACCACGTAAAGGATTTATTGCTTGGGTAGATGATGATGAAAAGGATCATGGTGACAGATTGACAATCTCCTGGCTTGTGAGGTTGAACAAGAAGCTGAAAAATGAAAATCTTTTCTTGAAAATATGTTTATTTAATAGTTGGGTATTGTTCTTGGTGATACTTGTTTACAAGTTGTAAGGTGGGGATGAGTTGTTATTGTAATGGTAAAGTCTTCTGTAATGGTTAGGTTGTAGCAATGTATGTGATGGTATCATTATCTATAATGGTTAGGTTGTAGCAGTGAATGTGAAGGTATCCTTTTCTGTAATGGTTAAGTTGTCTATGTATTGTAATGCAAATGGTTAAGATTTTAAAGATCAATGAAAATGGTGTTATGTATTGGTTAGGTTGTCTATGTATTGTAATGCAAATGTACTGTAATGGTTGTAGCAGTGTTGTATTGATTATGTTTTAAAGTGATGTATAAGCAACATATTGACCATTAATTAGTACCAAACTATAACAGGGCAATAAGGGTGACATCATAAGAAGAATATAACAATCTAATTTTGTACCAAACTATTATGGAAAATATAAATGTAAAAATCAATATAAACCAAATTATTATCTACCCAATGGTGTATCATAAGAAGAAAACATTCCATTAATTAGTACCAAACTATTACTGGGCAATGAGGGTGACAAACTAGTTCATCCAAAAGTGCCAACATATTGGCTAAAACAAGTATCAAAATACTGCCCCTATTACAAACTAGAGTAAATAATGTACCAAAATATTAGCCCTATTACAAGCAGCAACATAACACAATCCATTCATATTTAAAGTAACAAAAGACTAGCCCTATTACAAACCATCAAGTGGTTGCCTTCCCTTTCCCTTTTCCTTTTACTTGTGATTGTCCACCACCCCCACCAACAATTGGTCTTTGCCCTTTGCAGGTTCTTGCATTGTGACCAACATTGTTACACTTCGTACATGTTACTGATCTATGGGCCCTTGATGCTGTGTTTCCTCTAACAAAGTCCTCCTTTTCAACAATTGATATTGTTCTCTTCTTCTTTGGTCTTCCTATAGGAACACGATGTTTTGGAGGCAACAGAGTTGTTGGTATAGCTGACTTCTCCCACATGGACCTTCCATTGATTGGACTAACCTTAAAAGAATACATCTCTTTCCAGCTTGATAACCAGTAACATGGATGCACAAATGATTCTGGGATTCCCACATCTTTGTCATTCCTCCCCATGTCCCAAATAGCAGCCACACCATGTTTGCACGGAATTCCTATTGATTCCCACCTTTTGCACGTACAACTTTGTTGACCTACATCCACAATACACTGATCTTGCCATGGTCCAGCAACTTGATATTTTCCAGCACCACAAAATGTTGCAACATACTGTTCTGCCTTACTCTTTATGTTATCCAATATTGTTGTAGCTGTAGGAGTCAAAGGACCTACAACTTTCTGAATTTCCTTGTCAACTTTGACTATCTTCTTCATAATGTACTCTCTGATGAACTCAATGCAGTTAATAATTGGTGCATCACGACCATCTTCTATCTTGCTGTTGAATGCTTCACACATGTTATTAGTTAGAGCATCACAATGTGCTCTCCCTGAACATCAACAAATTCTATGTCAGTATTCAATTTACCTTCTTTTAAAATTATTAAGTAGAGATCGAAAGTCATTATACCAGTAAAGTGGGAGCGAGCCCAAATTTGAGGAGGTATTTGTTTCAGCCACTCATAAGCATCATTGTTAAGCTTCTTTAGTTTTTCCATTGCTTGATGAAAGTGTTGTACATTAGAGGTCGTGGCACATTCCCAAAGAAGATCCTTGAACACCTTTCCCCTCCAGTTCTTTTTCATGTTGTCGTGTATGTGACGAAGACAATAGCGATGCTCTGCACATGGAAATAGTGTTGCAATCGCAGGCAACAAACCCTAGCAATAGTAACATGTTTGTATGTTAGTATAACTGCATCAATAGTATAAAACTATAAAACCTAGTTTGGATAGGTTCCAATACCTTTTGCCTGTCACTCATAAACGTGAAATTGGAATTTGTTCCCAAACCTAAGTCATCACCCAAATTACTTAAAAACCAAGTCCAAGAATTCAATGTTTCTGATTCAACCACAGCATAGGCTAAAGGATATATCCCATTATTACCATCCAATGCCTTTGATAAGAAACATAAATTACCAGAAAACATTGGTCAGTTAAAACTAATTAAAATAAAGAACATACAATACAAAAAGAAATAAGAAGATCTTACCACAGCAGACAAAACTTGGCCTGGATATGGACCTTTCACGAAGGCTCCATCAAGTCCAAGAAAGTCCCTTCTTCCCGCTGCAAAACCTCGCTTCAAAGCTCCAATGCAAACATAGATACGCCTGAATGTTCTTGTCTCAACAGTTGGATTCGCTTCACTTTCAACATCAATTTTAACCGTAGTATCTGGGTTACGTGCTTGTACCTCTAAAACATAATCCCTTAACAACCTGTACTGGCTGGCATAATCTCCTTGAACATGCTTTAAAAAAATCACTATCTTTCATATCCACATCAACATCGTGTATGAGATTGTCCTCATCAATAAAAAAATCACTATCTTCACTCTCACTATCATCATCAAACTCATCATTTCCACTGCCATTGTTGTGTCCACTACCATCATAATCATCCTCATTCTCTACATTCATTTCAAATTCAATATGGTCGACCAAAGATGGTTCTTTGTCCAAATGACTATCATTCTCAACTTCTGTTAGGTCTGGAACACTCTCATGCTCAATTGGAGAGTCATTCCACTCCAAGAACAACTGTTTGGAGCAAGCTGGTGGCTCTTTAATTTCAACAATTTTAACCTTACTAGGGTTGGGGGACATAGAATAAGTATGTAAATTTGTTTTCCCATGCTCAATATATACATCTATTACCTTATGGTTAGCAACATACGTACCCAGATGATGAACATCCTGATCTGAACCCAAAGCAAATAACCCAAAATCCAAATCGCCAAATGGTCTCAGGAAATGATAATAGAGTAGTGTTTCGTCTGAATCAATATGCCCAAGTTCCTCCATCATCTCGTCAATGTCGTGAATGGAAAAGGTGTCAATGTCTAGTAAATCAACATAATTTTGCTTGCCTTTGATGTACTTTCTTCCAGGGAACTTTGTAAACTGTCCACCATGGTGTAATCGGACAGAGAATATCGTCGGATGTCCGGCTGTATATTCACGGAAAGATTGGTTAGTCACATTTTTCTTTTTAAGTTATTAACTGATTGAGGGAGTAAACACTTACCATATCTACGAGCAACGTCAATCTCGTCCATGGTAGCACGTATCCTCCAAGGCGCCATCGTCGTTTTCAAATGTAGGGTTCTTTCGATCAAGGGTTTTCAAGGGTTTTCAAAGGGTTTTCAAAGGTTTTGTCTGTGAAGCTTGTGTCTGATCACGTTGATCAACGATACGTCCTTTTTTTTCTTGGCGGTATAACATTGGATATGTGAAAAGACTTTTATACCCCTAACGTGCAAGGCACGTGGGGTGTCTAACGGAAACAATTGACGGACTGTGAGAATAGGGACGTGGCGGGTTACATAATTAAAAGTTGAGGACAGTCCGAGTTAGAAAAATAAGTTAGGGACCAAGTGTGTAATTTACACTAAACCACAGGGACCATTCGCGTAATTTACTCTTGTAATTATTTAAAATATCAAACATTATTTTTGTTTTTAAAAGTAGCAATATAATGTTTGTATATAATGTTATTTTTAACTATTGTTGTTGTAGGTTATTTTAAATAACGTATTTGAAACTCTTAATTATTATAATTTGGTTTTAGAAATTTAACTTTTTTAAAATTTATTTAATGAATATTGTTAGTTTCTTTGATAATAATTATTTAAAACAAAAAAAACATTGCTTTTGTTTTTAACTATAGCATTATAATTTTTTATATAATATTACTTTTAACTATTTTATTGTAAGTTATATTTAAGCTATATATTTGAAAACTCTTAATGATTATAAAAAATAGTTTCATGGTTTTTTTTTTTTTAATTTTAACATGTGTTCATATTATGAAGTTTAGATTTGGAAATTTTAACAGGCATCTGGTTGATGTTAAAATAGTCACTCTTTAACTATTGTCTTTGTTACCCCTACATATATCTCGACACTTGTTTCTTATAGATGTCATATTTGAAACCTTGTCTGCAATTTGTTTATCCAAAAATGATCATTGCTCTACAAAATGCCTTGGAACTATTATTTTAAATGACAATTACAAATTGTCTGTCCGAGGGTGTTTCACATTAGTTAGGTTTCATTATGCAGCTATCATTCGCTTCCTCGACTATAACTACTCAAAAGATCAAAAACTGGAAATCGAAGGACATCTTCATCATCAATATATTTTATGTACAAAAGAACAAAACATATCGACATAAAATATGTAAATATATCAGTTTTATTAATAAGACATTTTAGTGATTTAACTGATTGTTGTATATGTATGTGTCTTAATGGAATGAGATGTATCAATGAGTTTAACCGACTTTTTTGGTATTAAAGCCCAACACACCCCTATCTTCTCCCTCTAGCTTCCACAGTGCATCGTTTATAGATTTTATGGAAAACGGAACACTAAAATAATAGTAAAATAAGCTATCAAGTAAAAAAACAGAAGTACATAATAGTAAAATAAAAAATACAAAGTGAAACCAAAACAGTTTATAGCCAAAAATAATCTGAAAACAGATAGATGTCGCTGTAACTTAATACTATCAAGTAAAAACAAACATGCTTCAATAAGGTAAAAACCAGACAGATGGGGTTTTGCTTGCTTTATGGCTTATGCATGTTGATAATGATTTAACTTGTAAAGCAACACATGACCCGCAGCATTCCCCATCGCCATCATCCCTCCACCCGGACTAAAATCCAAACACCGAGGAAACTGCAACGCCTTATTTGCTGGTGGCCAGTTTGAAAATACAGTAAACGAAGGCACATGCACCAGCTTCATACTGTTCTTCTTCATACTCGAACAAATCGCCAAAATCTGCGCATCACTATTAAACTTGATAAAATCAACTTTTGTTGTCAGATTCTCGATCCTTTTCATCGGTTTTCTGTTTCCCCCCAAAAACTCCTCCTTATTGTAAACATTCACAATCCCACTATCGGACCCCGCTGCAAATATGTTCCCGTTTGGTGACATTCCAAGAGCTGTACCCGTTAAGCACCCTTCATCAACACCTTTATGGAAACAACTCATGCTTCTCGTATCAAAATGGTAGATCTGCCCGTCCCCGCCCGTGGCTACCAACTCCTGCCCGTCATTCCCGAAAGTTAAAGCCCGGGCAGTTCCGTTCATTTTCAGAGTTCCTATTAATTCTTTTGTTTTGGATGACACCAGTAGAATATACCCTTCGTTGCCAATAAACGCGATTGTTTTCGAATCCGGGGAGATTTCGAACGCTTCTAAGCTTTTTTCCTCACGCCCAACTAACGGACCGATTTTATCCATCTTTGCTTTGACCAAGTCAAAGCTGTAAAAAAACTTTCGCCTTCCGGAAAGGATAACCTGCGAGCCATCTGGGGTGAAAGCCGCCTTTCTGATTGGACAATCATCAACAAAAATGGATTGAATTTTCGTGTTTCGTTTTCCATCGATCTGGAAAAACCGTAACTTTTTGTCTAGTCCACCGGTTAGAAGTAACTGACCGTTTCTATGGAACTGAACCGAATTAATCGGACCGCTGGATGGGTCCTGTGCGTTTGCATCGACTAATCTTGAATACTCGAGTAACCCGGGCAGCAGTTTTGAGCTGCCCGAAACAACGAGATCTTCCGTGGTTTGAAGGATACCATCAAAATCTCCGTTTTCTTGATCGCTTTCATCGGAGTTGTAAATCCGTTTGTGTGAATCGGGTCGGGCCCAGTCTGTGCTCGGGTTGAGCTTCATGTGGTGGGCCCGCAATCTTGATACATACTCGGATCCCGATATTAGTTTCTCGTCTTCTTCTTTCCGGATCTTTCTTAAACGGTTGACTTTTGAAATGTTTATGTTGGTTTTTTCTTCCTCTTCGTCTACCCAAACGGGTTTTCGTGGGGCGTGATCCTCTGTGGCAGCAATTTCTATTTCTCCTGTTTTTGCATCCTCTTCGTATACAGACAACACACTGTTGGCAGAACGATCAGTGAAGAACAAAGCAGATTCTTCATCTTCTTCTTCTTCTTCAATGTTCTTCCCAAATTCCACTGGATATAAAGACCCAAACAAGACGTTTTCGAGTTTCTTCATCTCGATTGCTTGCTCAGTTTCAGCTTGTTTGTCCTCTTTTCGTTCTTTCTTTTTCTTCTTAGGCTTCACTGTGGTCATGTTTTCTGGATTTTTTGTTTCTTGTAACACGTCTAATGGTAAAGGCTCTTCAAGATCAGGATTCTTTCTTTTGATCTTCTTGCCTCTGTCTTTAGAAACCGCATTTTGAGAAATCAAAGTAGCCATTGCTGTGACAGCTGTCACTGCAAAATTAAACAGAGCATGTGTAAAGCTAATAATCTTCGTATATAAGATTCTATTGTTTGTGTGATATTTAAGTTCTAAAAAGAGGGAGCAGAAGGCTCTCGTATGTATTGTTGAAAACATGACAAACAACGGTTTTCCAACATCTTCTATCCTAAGGATTCCACAACAAAATTTAACTTTTAAGAAACTAATCCACCAAGTTTACAGAAGGTAAGAATCTTTTGATCTTTTGTTTCTCGGTTTTATTATATAGCAAGTGGAGAATGTAATCAGATTCTTGATAAGAACTACAAAACGGCTTAACTTTCAATTCTGAAATAGATGTACAATAACCACTAACCAGATATGGATTATACAGAATGACAGTTGCTCCAGTATTTTAAATCAAACCAATACAATTGACATATAGCAACGTAGAAAAAAGACTGAGTTCTACATGGTTGGAGCTGTATATGTTAAGCCTTAATACTCATATTCGTTAGCATAGAAAGACTAGCCAGTTAGAGGGACCTGTCACCTGAGTAGCAGTAGACTAAATGTGGTCATGGATATTCCTGCAAGCACTGTTTAAGGCACAATCTCCATAGAGTTCATAGGTTTCAGTTGTAACATCAGAACATCGAAGGCTATTGCCAGTAGTACAAAATACAGGTAGAGCACCCGCAGCTTTTCATAACATAGAGGAATTTTCCATTCAAGCTAACATGCTTCGTTCTAGGTTACAATTGTTAGTGTAATTTACGCAATAACATGTTGTACTTTTATGTAATTGTGTACTGTCCTAATTGAAACATAAAGCTGAAACACGCACTTGAAACATTTATTAATGAACAAACATGTGAATGTGATTGTGGTTTATAATTGATAAATTGAACGTGTCTGGCAAAATGTGAAACTAACTTTAAAGGATGTGTTTTGATAGTTACCTGCCTACCGGACAACGGAGAGACCTGAAGCAGCGAGGAGAGATGATGAACCGACGGAGAAGATACCGAAAAGGACGACGTGTGGAGACGAGTGATGGTGCGGCTGGAAGTCGGCGGGAAAAAAGTCGGCCAGAGAGAATAGACGAGAACGGCAGGGTTTTCTTTTGCCGATAGAGGGCTTTATTTTTTCTTAGATTAAATTACACGAATGGTCCCTATGGTTTAGGATAATTTGTGTGTTTGGTTTTTAATTTATTTTTTACCTCATAAGGTCCTTATTGTTTGTTTTTGTTATACGTTTGATTTCTCTTACTTAAAAATATTATTTTGCCCTTAAAATTTTAATTTATTTAAATAAACACACCCTAACCCCATTCTTTCACCTTACGTTACATACCCCATTATTTTTCTTTATTTAAATAGTAATCTTTTAGGTAAGATAGAGATCAAACGCGTAACAAAAACAAACAGTAAGAATCAAGAGCGTAAAAAACAAATATTACAGACCTCTCGAGTTAAAAAAAAAACTAGGTTAGGGACCAAGCGCACAAATTACTCCAAACCATAGTAACGATTCGTTTAACTTACTCTTTTTCTTATTTTATCAATCAAGTTGTTTATGAGTAAATTACAAGAACGGTCCTTCGGTTTCATAAACTTCTAGTACTTTTCAGACTTAAAACTTTCCAATTTTATAGTTTTGGTATATAAACATGGTAAAAGTGGTTATTTTCCTTTGTTTTTTTTGTATTTTTACATCCTAAAAACCATAATAAAAAATTTCATTTTTATAAAGCATTTTCACAAAAACCATAAGATGGTCAAGTACTGTTTTCAAATCAAGTCCATAAAATTAGAGTAACAAATAACCTCTCAAAAATATAAATCAGCAGGAGGATGGATGTGTATGATCATGTTTTTGTCTTGTCGCGATCATCTGATGTACCTGAAAACATTGAAATGCATGTACCTTAGTGAGTTCCTCCAAAATACCCCACACAACAATACATATACAATGCATGTACATCGGGCCCACAGCCACAAAGATTGGATTTCCCCCGAGCCCACGACAACAAAGATTGGATTGTCCTCGGGCCCACAACACGAAGTCTGGATTGCCCCCGGACCCACAACACAAAGTTTAGATTGCCCCCAGACCCACAACATAAGATTGGAATGTCCTCCTAGCCCTTAGCCTATGATTGGATTGCTCTCGAGCCCACATGTTAGGGTGCAAAGCTCTTCTTGGATGTGGCTTACCCTTTTGTATGTGTAAATAGGCTGAGTCTTTTATATAATTAGGAAGTGGGTGACTCTCATCATGTAATGATCATTTGGGAGTGTTAGTTTAAGAGAGGGAAATAGCAAACATATTTGTACTCTTTTTAACCAAGCTAATGAGAGCTTGAAACAAATTTTTTTTACTCCATGTGGTCATGATTTATATGATGATTCGCTAGATTTTTCATATTCCGCATTTGCCATCATAATCAACACCACTACAATTGGTATCAGAGCGGGTGTTCTTGATTTGATGAAAAATTGATCCATGATGACATTCTAGATTTGGTGGTTTTTCATTTGATCTTTGATCTTCGTGTTTTGGAGAGTTTGGATTCTAGAAATCGAATTCCTCATTGATTATATTCATAATTCAATTTTTTCACTAGAATTCAAGTGATTTTGCTTTCTCTTTCTAGAAAACCCATTCAAAATCGCTTTCTCTCTCTAGAAAAACTCAAGATCTTATCGATTTATCAAAGATGGTTGACTCGCCGTATGATTTTTGGATTGTGATCGTTGAAGATGTCAAATACAAAGTCAACGAAAAGCAATTTTATGGGTTATCGTTAAGCGAGTTGATTTCATAGAGTACTTAGGTTTCTTATGGAGGTTTGAAGGATGATCATGGAAGCTTGATATTTCAATCACTTTGTATGATTGGATGGTTGACTAAAATTGTCTTGTCTATATTAGTCCGTAGTAGAAATCAAAAGGAAGGAGAAGAAATATATATATATATTTAATAAGATATGCATTTCTCTAATTGAAAACTCAAATGATCTTCTTGCTGTTAAGTTTGTTGAAGTTCAAGATTATGGAGTTCAATGTGATGTTCTTGAAGTTAATGACAAGAAGATTCAAGTTGATTCTCATGAAGATGCAAAAAAAAAAATTTGCTCGATTGGAGTCAAACTGATGATATTTTGTGTTCTTGTGATTCGTTTGAATGAATGATTCCTTATCAAAAGCCGTTAATCCAAGAAATTCACAAGTATCGAACTCCAAAATATTTGATTCAAACTTGTAAAGTTGAAGTTGTCAATAATGAAGGTGTTATTGAAATCAAATCTTCAAGATGTAAAAATATGAGAAACAAAAAGAAGAAGAAGATTAAACAGAAGGACAAGCGGGTTTATTCTAAAAAATCGTCAAATGTTGTTGTGAAGCTTAAATCCATGAAGCAATTTTGGGTTCCAAAGCAACAATCTCAAAGTGTTGCATTGAATTTGAAGTCAAAATCCAAAAGTGTTGATGGTTTTTATGAAGATGTTCTTAGATCGTTGAGGAACACGATTAACACGAATAATGAGTTGTACACCACGCATCGTGGGTGGTATAATGTTCAAATTGGATATTTTCTCGTTCCAACAAAAGAACCAAGATCTTCTAAATTTGATTCGTTCATTGCAAATGGAACTCGAATCGTCAAAAAGGCATCACAAATTCTCAGATGGATTCCAAAACATCCATGATTTCGATTCATATTTTACATTTTTTATTTTTGATCGATTTTCCTTATTGGATCAAATCTGTTTCAAACTCATTGATTGATCCAAATATTTTTATTTATATCAAAATTCCAAAAATCATAATTAAATTCAAAATTTGTTTGCTTTCACTGTTCATCCAGAAATTACTGTTCATATACACAATTAATTGTGTCCAAAATTATAATTCAAAGTACTCTCCATTGATCTAAATTTTTAGCCCAAATCTCAAGTTTATTACTATTCATTGGTCCAAAGGATTGAGCGCAGAATGATAATCGGTTAATGTTCATCTTGATACAACCTCATTGATATATATATATATATATATATATATATATATATATATATATATATATATATATATATATATATATATTTGGTTCTTCCTTCGTGAATATCATTTTACTTCATTCGATCGAAGTTTAATTGATATTTACTGGAATCGAAAGCCTTGTTGCTTCGTAATGCTTTATTGAATCAAATTTTCCTCAATCTTAGCTTGTATGATCTTTAGCCTGATGTTGACTTCGAGTTATGATCCTTTCGTTTGTAACGACATTCATTTCAGAGTCGGTTGAAGTTACAATAGAGTTCGAATGTTGAAGAATCGATTGAAACGTACCGAAGTTCGATTGAACATGTCTGGCATTGATTTTCAATTAGAAAGCTAAACAGGAACGGAAATATTGCTTGTAATGTTTGAAATCGATTCAATTGAGAAAGTCCAATGGTATAAGTCAAAATTGATTATCTTGATGAACTGAAAAAAGAATTGGGAATAAACTGGCTTGGAGTCGCGATGTCAATTTTGGTCGATGTTATTGACTGGAACAATATGATCTGGGAATGCAGGTTTCGAATGTATGGATGACGAACAGATGGTTGATGTGATGTCAAGTAGCAATGGTCAATAGTTGGGAACGAACTGAGAATAACAAATCGATGGTCTAAGTTAAGTCTCCGCATATAGTATAATCGATTTTAGGGCTCCTTGTAATGGAAAACGAAGGATGAATCGTGAATGGATTTTGATGTCGATGATTGAAAAATCAATTTCGACGGGTCAATTTTGGTCGAGTAGCGAAGTGATGAAATCGAGTGTTTTGATGTCCAAGGCTATATACTGATTTTGAAGACTGTATGCAAGATTTATTTGGAGTCGAAGTCGATGTTTGAACCCTTGGGGATTCGATTGTGGAGTCTGTATTCGTTTTTGATGGTCGATGGTTGAAAACGAAATGGGTTATTGAATTGATAATCGAATGAAATTATATTCGAC